GGATTTCTAAAAGATCTACTGACATAGACGATTTAAGCTTATTATCACAACTTATAGCAGCATTTAAATTAGAGTAAAGATGTTCTTCATCCAAATGATCTTCACTTCCTCTAATGCTCATAGATGAACTACTTCTTGTATAAGTTATAGTACCTTTATCTTTATCAATAACTCGCTGGCTATATTCGTACGACATACCTTTCAATGAGACATCTGTTTCAATTTCTGATGGTTGTGAATTAGATACTGAATTTGGAAACCATCTCTGAAATTTAAGCTCTATAGAATCGTCAAATGTTATAGGCATGTTTTTTTTTTCTCTTTCATCATATTCAACTGATGAATGAAGAATTGTTGGTGGAATGGGTGGTTTGGATGTTAGGCCTGGTTCTAATTGTTCATCATTTGATTGATGCTCATCATTCTTTGCAAGCATAGAGCAACTTTCCAATGATAAATCTTCTACCTCCAGTTCTTCAAATGCGTTTTGAACTTTCGAGCATTTATTAAATCCTTAATCATTTATCAAAATACTATTTATAATTAATTTAATCATAACTAATATTATTTTTAATATTACTTGAACCACTTTGTTGGTCGTTAAAATTAAATGTTATATGTCTGTTCTTTTCAAATGTACTTAATATATCTGCAGATTGAGGTCTTTTGACTAAGTTGAATTTTCTAGGAGAATCCTTGAAAAAAAATTTGCATAAAGAAATGTAGTAATTATAAATTTAAGAATAAATTTGTAAACGCCCTAAATGCCAAAATAATAAACAATTGTTCTCCATACTTAAATTTAACTTATGGTTATTTATAAATTAATAATAGTAATTCATTTATATATTAATTATTAAAATAAAAATGTAAGAATATTTTATGATATTAGATCCAAAGCAATAATATTAAATTTATATAAAAAATAATAATTCGGCACATTAGAGATTTTACATATTCACTCTTTAATTATCAACCTGATTTATAGGACCCATTGTAGATGCTGACATTGGTCTAGAAAACGGATGGTTTTGGTTTGTAAAATCTATATTTTGATTGTAAAAACATCGTAGGGGACTTGGTGTATTACAATTTGACGAACGCAAAGTCAAATTTATCTAAAATAATATACTTCTCAATTTAATTATTTAATTTAAAATTAGTTTTAAAATTGATTTTGTCTTCAATTTCTGTGGTGCTCAAGTAAGATATCTTAAATTTAAAATTAATCATTTCATTGTTTATTGTACCGTAAAAAAGTATATTTCTTTTTAAATATTATGATGTATTTAATCTCATTTACGCAATTTTTGTCCTTAAGCCCTTTTACCCAAACACCACAGATACAGGTATCAATTTATGTACATGTGTATAATTTTTGCGCAAAATGTTAAAATGAAACACTAATCAAAAAACTTTTGTTTATAATTGTATAATTTATCAATATTAAGAATAAATATACAATTACTATTATTAATATATAATTTATGCAGTGTTAAAATATCTTGTACTTTAATCGTGCGTATTAACTAACTTTTGGTAAATAATTAGTTATTCTATAAAACTACAATACATTCTTTATTTATTTATGAAAAAATTTAATTTCATTCTAATTGCAATTTTATAAAACCTTTTGCATATTTTAAATAATTTTTGTATTATTCAATTCAATGAAATAGTGTGTTACAATTAAAAAAAATTAAGTCTACACACTTGTAATGCAACAAAGATAATGCTAAAAAGTAATTAATAACTAATAATATAATAATACGTGTACTTAACAAAAAAACATTTTTTTTCTCAAAATTATATTTATTTTGTGAGTAATTCGAGTGGATTATAATAAACGAATCGCTCTGCTTTAACTTACTACTGAAATAATGTAAATTTATACATATAGACACAAAAATATTAAATTTATTTATATATTTATTAAATAGACGGAAATAATTTTACTTGTGAATAAAGAATTTTTAGTTAATAGTTCACTATTTTTATTCGTATTACATTTATTTTATCGAAAAGTAACTATGCTCTTTGATAAGATAAAAATACATTATTAAGAGCATTTTTTTTTATATAAATTAAACTGATTATTTGCATTGAAAATATACCCACACGCTTTTTGTGTATACATGATTTCGATCGGTAAAATGTTATGTTATGTTTTAAATGGATTTAAATGAGACGCATTGTAAATATTATTTTTAAATAAACATATAACTTTTATCTTCTTGCGACGACTCCAAATACCATAAAACTATTTTCAACCAATATTGTTTTAAATAATAGTGACTTAACAAGTAGTACGTTGCGTGTATACATTTTTATCGTATAATGATTTTGTAGATAATTGCGTGACAAGTCAAAAACAGTATCTTCAATATTTTGTTCATAAGAATTATGTAGATATTCAAGAGTAAGTATTATGTTTGATAATCTCATAAATATTTAAGTTTAATTCATTCAAAAATGTTAAGGCTAATGGTACCTTTAAGTGTAAATCATAACTAATTTTTGAATTAGTTTTTGAAAACAGCAAAATAATTAGATTTTATTTATGTGAAACAAATAATTTTGTTATAACTCAAAATAACAAAATACTATACGTAGATATTAAATTTAATTTTAATTAAGTTAATTACATTTTCCAAAGGTATTTGAAAGTAAATGATGATTTACAAGCAAATCAATAACGAATTTAATATATTTTTTACGAGTTACATTTTTTTATGTACTGTACACTGAATCAATGAATATTCAATGACGTGTGTGTTACATTATTAGTAATCCAACCAAACCGCTTAATATACTCTACAGAGTTCAGAGTTGTTTATTTCCTCGACTTAAAAATAAATATTACAAGGTGATGTTAAAATTGAGTAAGGTTTAAATATTATAACTTTATTGCAAAGTTATAATAATTATTAATTTAATTAGTTTAAGTTTATTAATCATCAAAATTGTAAACATTTTCTACGATTATTTGCACAACTATTTTTGATTATTTAAACACATTTTATAACGAAAAAAAATGTGACGTATATTAAAAATTTATTATTTTGTTGATAATGAAATTTTAAATCGCGTTTCTTTTTTTTTATTTACTTGGTCTTCGTACAGCTGTTGACAATCTTCCATTTGTCATACTTCATATAATATAAACAAATAAAGTCTGTTCAGATTAACTCTAATACCAATTCTTACAAAAATGTTTGATTGTGATTGGCATAAAATTGGAATAAACACTAATGAATAATATATCACCAAAATTCAGTGAATAGTGTACATACTTGTGAGCCTTGTAACGATAATGAGGGGGATGATTCTGATTTAGTGTTCTGTTTTTTCGACATGTCCGAAAGTATAGTTTACTAACGTATTAACTTTAAAAACTGTTTGTAAATTTTTGTACAAACTATGCGTAAAAAATAATTTCCTTTTGCCTAGTTAGATATTTACAAGATGTATTATTAAGTAAACAGTACGTTTCATTACAACAAATCGGTTGCTCAGCAACATGATCTACAGCTCATGTGGCGCCGTTGTCGACACGTAGTTGATTAATACTTTGGAAATGAAATAATAATACCTCGTTTATGATACTTCGAATAAACATGACAGAGTTATAAAATTTATAAAATATTTTTAATAATTAAATTTATAATTATCGGTATTATAAATTTTAACATTAAAAATACAAACTTTTAACATTTTTTGGAAAAGATATTTTACTTGTATGTTATTTTAATGTCTAATAACCACGTTTAAATTGTTATTTTTTAGTAAACGTTGGTACTTTTAAGATTTAAAAGAAATAATTTTTAAATAAGTTTATTTTATTTTAAACCAAATACAATACTTTAGTACCTCAAGTAATATATTACCACATCTAATTTTATTTATTATTTAGTCAAATGAATTAATACAATTATTTTAAACATTTAAAAACAAGTAGTCTTCTGATCAATACATAGCATTAACTGTAAATGATTTTTTTTTCTAAGATTAAATGACTAGTGGAACATATTCCCCGAGTATTTTGCATTTTCTTAATTAATATACCTTAAAATTGAGCGAAATCCGGGGAGCAGAAAATTTGAACCCTCTAAATTGAATACAAATATCCATTCATTTAATAATTTACAATTTTTTTTTACAATTAAGTTTTCTTACACTTAAATCCTCGCCCCAAATTGTTCACACAATCCCACCCTATAAGTTAATGATACAAAGTTCAAAAATGTTGGTTTTTATTTGAGATACAATGCTACACTAATAATTTTATTAACATGAGTTTTTTTAAATTATCATATTAAAATATTTAAGGCTCAATTTTTTATAAAGTTATGTTTACAAAAATTAGTATTATTTAGATAATCTAATTACGTGTTATATTAATTACGAATTATATTTTTATTACTGTTATTAATAACAACAATTTTTTTTTTATATTTTAAAATAGTCTGCTTTTAGCACTTTTCTTATGCGAATTATCTAAAACAACTTTTAGACAAGTAATTATTAAGCTAAAAACATTTTAAAATATAGAATTAGTATATTATGAGTGTAAAGTATTGGTTATAAAATATACTAGTACGATTACCCACCGGCGCTACAAACCTATTCTATTACTTAAAATACTTATAATAACTTATCGTCCTAAAATTGTTATACACCAATCAATTATTTTTGTAAGAAAATTGCTAAAAATTGGACTTCTCAGATATGATTTTATATGTGTGTAATTTTTTTGTTTATATTTATATTTGTAGATAAAACATAAATAATATTACATTAATTCGTCATATGAGATTTTTTTTCAAACTTTTCAAATCCATCATGAATAATAATTGAAATTGCATGTTGGTTAAGAACATAATGACCTTGTCTAAATATTTGTAGTTCTGTAAATTAGCATAAGCTACGATGTTAATACTAACATATTGTTACAACTAAAAAAAATAACATTTAATTAAGAAAACTCTAAATGCGTTGTTAAGGTATAATATAGTATAATAATATTTAATCATTAAATAACTATTTAATACAATAAAATGTCAAAACAAAGTTTAATTCTATAAAATACGATTCTAAACATTTTATTCACAGCAGTTGGTAATCCTGATATCTGAAAATTTTGTATTATCAAACTCGTAGTTGTTTATCACTGTTATCGCTTCATTGTCACCATTTACTATAACTAATAAACCATAAGGTAACAATTGAGATACTTCATACCACATTTTGTCATTTACAATCGTTTAAAAATATTTGTTTTGAATTCCAACTATTTGTATTATTATTTTAGTTATTGGTTTTGACAAAAATATCTTAAATATTCAATATGAGTAATGTTAACGCTGTTGAAGAACTAGAAGCTGCGAAAATCGCTCACCATCTATCACCAAGCAAAATGGGTTTACTAACACCTAGTCCAATCGTCACTCGAAGAACAAGAACTGACTCTACGTAAGATAATTATAATTAATTAAGAATTACTTTACCCTCATAATACTTAAATATATAGCACCTGATGCTTACTTAGTGCATTTTAGATTGTCTTAATCTTCGAGCTTGGTCATATTGTGAAAAATTTATTTTAATATATTAAAAAATGATAGTCATTAATACTTGATGATTTCAAAAATATTGTCAAAATAATCGAAATACTCCTAAGTAGCCTTTGGAATTACACTTAGTATACTTATTAATAATTTAGTAACTTAATAACTTAATTTGTCATTCCTTATAGATCTGCACTAGCCTTAAAAAATCCACAAGTAACTGGACATGTTAAGTATTTTTGCAAATCTAAAGGACATGGTTTTATTACACCAGAAAATGGAGATCCCGATATATTTGTACATATATCAGAGTGAGTACTTTTATTATGATAACTATGTTTGTTTCAATAATTACATTAATTACATATAAGAATAATTAGTTTAATCAACTCATAAAAAATTGTATTTTAATTTATTAATATTTAATTTTCATTTACTTTTAATAATTCGTTATCTGTTAGTAAATTTCATATTTTTTGTTAATGACAATGAAAATATCAATAAAAAAATAATATAACCTTGTCATTAGACAATTTTTTTTTTTTTTATGTCTTCTCTTGTATAAAGTGAAATAATTATTTTATATCTATTAATTAAAAAAATTAGCATTTAAAATTTCTTATTTAAATTAAAATAATTTTCTACCTAATTATAATATTTTTATACTGATTATAGTTTTTGATGACAAATAGAGGTATAGGCACTGATAATATGACTATCTTAATATTTATAATAATATCCCTCATAAAGGATACAGATTTATTATTTCTAAATCTTTAGTTTTATATAAATGTTCAATAATATTTACCATAATTTTAAAACACATAATTTCATATCTTATAAATAAATATCCAAAAATATTAATTTTACAGTATTGAAGGAGAGTATGTTCCATTACCCGGTGATCATGTTCGATACAGATTGTGTCCTGTTCCTCCTAAGTTTGAAAAAGTTCAGGCTACACATGTCGAAATTATTAACTTTGCACCTCAGGTTCATTTAAAATGGGATTCACCTGAAGCAAACTAATTTATTATAAATGATTAATGTTATTTTTTAAAATCAAATTTAATACTTTTGGTAGAAATTATACATTCCAATATAATTGTTGTTTACCCTATATGTTTTAATATCCTGTTCAGTCCAGAGTGCCAAATTATATAAAATAATTATAATTATTTAATATAAGTAAATATAATTAGATTAATTTTAATAAAACTTTTTTACATATAATGCATATGCTCTATAATTCTTCATAATGATATTTTTAAATGTTAAATTTTGTCAAGTAAAATTTGTATTACTTATTAATAGCTGTATCAAAAATAATAGTTAAAATAACTTGTTATGTCAAATTTAACGAATTAAGGGGAAAGATAAACAATATTTATGAAATAAGCGGTCTGAATTATTTTATAATAATTTTTTGTTTTTTTTTCTAAGTCTAATTTTAATTATTATCACTAGATAATTAATACCCTAACATGCATATTCTAATTTTATCTGTTGTAAAACATATCAAAAATTATAAACATATAAATGGATTTTACTTATATCAGTAGCTATTTCACCATTATTTCTTTTTTTATAATAACTATTTGATATAATAATTTAACAAATATTTTTAGTGTATAATATGCAATAATAGTTTGAAAATTCCAATGTATTAAACTTTCTTGTTTATTTTGTTTTTTGTATTAGTAGGTAGAACCATGTAACTAACGAAAATTAATAAATGAGATGATTTTGTATTAATAATTTCTGAATTTATTTTAAACAAAATTAAACCATAATTTTAGTATAATAGTAATTATTTTTTTTACATTTATGTATACAATCAAATAATTTATAATAACTGTGTTTATAACTATTTTAATAATTGATATTTTGTAATTTATATGATAATTCTAGTCTGTTATTGTAGAATATCAATGTTATGTATCGATGAAAATTATTACAACAAATATTACATATTTAAGTTTAATAAATAACTATGAAATAATTTTCTATTTTTAGTGAAAAATAATCAGTTTCTATTGGCTGTATAAATTATTATTCTGAGTAAGATGAGCTAAGTATAAATTTTACAAAATTACTTTTAATGTAATTTATGTCTTGTGTAGAAATAAGAGTTATGTTTGGAATATAATTTTTTTTTATTAATTTTATTGAAATATAAGAACTATTATATTTCAAATTTTTGTTAGCCAGGATATCATTAAATATTTTTAATTAAATTAAAAAATTATTTTCAATATTAAGGTATGAATTACTCTACCTTAGAAAATCTTAATATCCTTAAGGATATTAAAATTTTTATTGCAGTATAAAAAAAATTTTTTTCCTTTTATATTTTTATGATGTAATTTTGTAATAATAATTAAGTATTAAATAGTTAACCATTATATTAGTATACATACAAAAAAAGTACTTTAATTTTAATATTTTCTTTAATAATACCATTTTAAATTTAAGTGCTCATTAATTGATAGTAACAATTATAATTTTATTATTCTAACGGTGTAAATTTTTTATATGTAATATTCAGTTTTCTTGATGAAGACATAATTTTTATTGATATGAAAATAGAATAAAATGTTGCTCACCTATATTAAAACTGTTGAATCTAAAAGAAAATTTTTTCCATGAATGTGAAAATATCTACTAAAATCTTTGTATTTTGTATTTTAGTATTTTTTTTTTTTGTTGTGAGTCCAGTTTTAAACTAGGTGGGTGATGTATTATTGGGTCATAACACTTTACATTTTTTTCAGCTAAAACTTTATGTAAACTAATTTGTAGTCTTAAGCTAATTTTTTTAAACTCAGTTTTGTTGTATTTTGTTTGAAAAATATATAAATGTTTTTGTGTGCAAAGTGTCTTTTATTTAACTATTTTAAGTATTAAAATATCACTCAATTATAAAATGAATAAATTGTCAATGCACTGAGCTTTCCCTTCTTTTAATAAAAAATATGTGTGTTTAACTAAATTCTTCATATGTTTACTTTTTCAAGTAAAAAATGTGCATAAGTGAAGTGTTTTTTTTTGTTTTGCTCTTTATTAAAAATAAGAAACTTATAAATATGTTATCTTTATTAATTCAATTGACTACTATTAAACTTAAAGTTTGAATGTTATAAAAATAAATAAAATTTGGAAATACACAGCTATGCATTTATTTAATGAAAAAGGACCAGATATATATTAATTAATTACAATTATAATATATTGGCATAGAAACTAAACAATTAGCTAATTTTTTAATAATTGATTTCAATAAATTATTAATGTGAAAAATTTATAACGATATGTTCAATTTTAATATTATACTTTTATTCAATTTTTTTCGTTATGGATTGTTTCTTGATTTGCATGTAAAAGAAGATAATCAAGGTAAATCATTAGTAAAAAATTAATGACATTTTAAGTATTTCGAATAGCTATATAATTATTTTAGAAAATATGTCAACGTATGGTGTTCCAATTCATATGAAAATTTCTAGGCTTAATAATTATTTGGAAACCCAAAATGAATTAGCCATGAACAATTTTCCTAGACGAAATGAGATGCATTTAGATAGACCATTTTCTATATTTAGTAATAACAGAAAACATGAAAACGGTGAACTACAAAAAAATACTCCTAGTCATCCAAAACTTTTAATACTATGTGATAACATTCAATATTATGAAAATGAAAACAAAAAAAAGACCACCAAGTATAACCAAGGTTTAAAAAGTCGTTCAGAAACTGTCAATTTAATTTATAACTTTCAATCAACTTATCCTCACGAACAAACTGTGCGTAAAAAAATAGCTCGTACCAGGTCCGGCACTAAGTATAGTAAAAAAAAGAAAAAATATATGATTAATGTTTATATAAATCATGGAAAAATGTTTTTTTTTTCAGAAAACAATTTTCTATTGGTCACATGAGAAGTATGACCAAATCTAATAACCTCTTCACTTCAAATGGTTGTCGTAACACATGGATTTCAAACAACAAATACAATGGTAATTTCAGACAACGAATGTTGACAAAAAGTTTTGAACGTAAAACACATAAACGCAAAATGTCTCCTATTACTAGTCACTCTTGGGTTGCTGTAACAATTCCCATATCTCAAAACTCCCAATCCTTTTCATCCATAGTCACAGAAAATTTGAAAAATGCTAAAAAAAATGTATTAAATACACCATCGACATATTCTATGA